CCATAATGCAAACCTGCTGGGTCTCCCACATCCAATATAGTAGGGCCTGAAGGATCTTGGCTGTCCCAAAATTTAAAAAAAGAAAAAGGATTTTGGCCAGACCAAGCCACCCCAGAGACTCTTCCAGGGCACAGATGCAGACTGAAGCAAGAGCCACAGTCTGGGACTTGGCTTACCATGCAGAAACTCCTTTGGGGTTTCAGCCTGCTACACCAGGCCCTGCATTTTTGCACCCCAGAGCCCTGTCACTGGCCAGGTGAGCTGAGGAGCGCATCTGAGCTAAGCATGGGTCTGGGGGGAAAGAAGCCCTTTGGCAGCCCAGGATGACTTTTCTGCCCAACTGGAGTGGGGGATTCCCACAGCCAGCCTCAAACTCATGTTTTTCAAGTTGCCAGTCAGGGTGTTGTGTAGCAGCAATTTTAAGAAGAGATAACAAGAAAGTCTGAGCTACATGGTAGATATGCTATGTAAGCAGAAGGAAGTTTAGTTTGCTTTCTGGCCAGCAAAATTTTTATGAAGAATTGTTTACAGTTTACACTGACTTAATACATTTAAACCTGGTATCTGCTACCCTTGTAAACTGAAATTAACTCCATTTTACAGATGAATTATTCTGGTTTTACCTAAGCATATCTAAAAATCAGAAGATTCTCTTTAGAACAAAATAGCTTTGGGTCAGACATGCTGTACAGCAAGGGCATTCAAACTGCTAAACTAAAAAGCTAGATGTTCAGGTGTGTCGCACAACTTTTCACTAAAACTCCTGAGGTAGCATCAGTTTGGGTGGTATTACAGTTTATTTGAAGGCACATTGGTCTAATACAGTGGTTAGATATAATTATCTGTATTACTCTGAAGTCAGACAGAAGGCAGGGTAGATTTGCATCTTATAGACCGACTAAATCAAAGATGCATAGGCTTGTAAGCAGCAGCTTACTTCATCAGATGCTAAGGGTCCCCGATGCATCTCTGATTTAGTCTGTAAGGTGCAAAACTACCCTGACCTGCCTAATACAGTGGTTCTCAACTTTTTTAGACTAAGGGAACCCCTCATTTAAACTCAAAACACCCCTCAGAAAATGTAAGCTCTTAGATTTCCCTCATTTTTTTGAGTATGAAAAAATTATGACTTTCTTCTGTTGCAAAGAACTCAGAAAGACTACAACAGAGCAGAATGTTTTTGGCACTTTGGATTCCTTTTTGAGATCCTGAGTGTTTCTTGTGAATCATGTGTAGGTGTTTGCATGCCTAATATTGCATGGCACCCTGCTGCCCCCTTCAAAGGATCTCAAAGCACCCCAGGGTGCTGTGACACCCTGGGTGAGAATCACTATCTAATAGTTAAACAAGGATATTGGGAATATGAAGACCTGGATTTTATTCCAGACTCAGTAGCTGACTTAGTGGGTGGTTTAATCATGTAAATCCATTTTTCGGTGGTCTCAGTTTCTCCACTGGTGAAATGGATAGGACAGTGCCCATTTCTGAAAGCACAGTAAAGCCATTGGATGAGAGATTATGTAGAAGTGTGAAGTATTATAATGATAGTAACATATAGCACTCCCGGGGGGGGGGGGGGGGGTGTTCATCTGAGGATCCCCAAGTGCTTTACAAACACTCATTAATTAAGTTTTGTGACACTTCTTGTGAGATTAGAAAGGGATGTGCATAAATTAACTAATGTTAATTATCTCTGACTGAGTCCATATACCTTATCTTTGTGCATAATCACAGCTTTTGCAATCTTACATATATTAGGCCAATCTAATACAAAGTTTTCTGAAAATTTAGGCTGCACTATAGATGGATGCTAAGAGCACATACCAACTGCTGAAACTTCCTTAGCCTGACAAAGGGTTTTTGAACCCGAAAGCTTGCTTAATAACTATTCTCCAACTATTTGGGTTGGTCTAATAAAAGATATCAAATTCACCCAAGGAACCTTGTCTGCCTAAATAAAACATTGACATTTTTATACATATGTATATAAATTAAAATTAATGGGTGTGCCCCTTAGCAGATTACCCTTATTAATAATCCCATTTGCTTTAAAATAGGATTTTTCCTTGCATAGTGAGCAATTATTTAGATGGAGCAGATTGTAATTACAAAGGGAAATTGACGTTTGATAGCAGAAAAGAACAGACATTTTGTTTATAACCCATCCTTTTTCAAATTTGTCCTACCCGTAAGGGGTCGAGTGGTATAACTTATTTTAGGATAGATACGCAGAACTCTGAAGCAAGCTTTTGTTTATTAAAAGGAAAAACTTAAACAGAGTATACTCACAAAATCCAATACAGCATGCTCAAGCCTTGTTACTTGTTATGCGCAATTTCTAAAGACACCCTTAAAGATGATGCCTGGAGCAGATCAGCTGAGCCGTGGGTCGTGCGCTACCTGCAAAGCTTCCCAAGTATCTGTTCCCCCAGCAGTACGCTTCTATGAGAACCCTAAGATCTGCACACTTTGCTTAAATTTTGGGTCAAATTTATTTGCATCTAAGCAGAATTTAGGACCAAATTTGGATTAACCTTTACTGTGATTGGCCAAATGCAAGAACATTTTGTGGTTAGCATGCTAAGTTGCTAGTTTCAATTTTGTACCGCATTGTGGTGAGATACCTTTTTCACATCTGATCTTAAGAAGCTGATCTTCAGCCTCCTCAAGTAGTTGATATGGAGGGCGGAAAGAGAGAGAAGAAGAGAGAAGAGAAAAAAACCCACAAAACAAAACTCCCGGAAGAGTATAACCTAAGAGACCTCGCCATCGCGGAACTGTTTCTTCGTGGTTTGCCAGTACAGGTTGTGTGGGCCGGCTCCCGATCCCATCCTCGCCATGTGCGAGCCGGGCCCGTCTTTGTGCACGCGGACTGTGGCCAGCAGCCCGGGCACGCGGGGTCAGAGGAGACCGCGGGGCGGTAAGGTACGCGCAAGCTAGAATCAGTTACGAAGGCGTAATGGTTGATTGAAAAGATTATTTACTTACACCCAAGGTGGTCGCGGTGTAGGCTGGACAGCTTTCCAGGCGCAGCTCCACTTGAATCCTCGTTGGAGGACTCTGACAAACTCGGTTCTTTGACCCCGGAGTGGTTTAGGCTCCGC